TTCCCCTATACTCAGCACTGGTGAGGCCGCACCTCGAGTACTGTGTCCAGTTTTGGGCCCCTCACTGCAAGAAAGACATTGAGGCTCTGGAACGTGTTCAAAGGAGGGCAACAAAGCTGGTGAGGGGTCTGGAACACAGGCCATATGAGGAGAGGCTGAAGGAGCTGGGAATGTTCAGCCTGGAGAAGAGGAGGCTCAGGGGAGACCTCATTGCTCTCTATAACTTCCTGAAGGGAGGTTGTAGTGAGCTGGGGGTCGGCCTCTTCCCTCATGTCATCAGTGATAGGACCAGGGGGAATGGCTTCAAGCTACGGCAGGGGAGATTCAGGCTGGACATTGGGAAGTATTACTTTTCAGAAAGGGTGGTCAGGCACTGGAACGGACTGCCCAGGGAGGTGGTGGAGTCACCGGGCCTGGGGGTGTTCAAGGAAAGGCTGGATGTTGTGTTGAGGGACATGGTTTAGTGGGAGCTATTGGGAATAGGTGAACGGTTGGACTGGGTGATCTTTTAGGTCTTTTCCAACCTTGGAGATTCAATGATTCTATGAAAACAGTTTCAGTGTCTCAAGATCTCTATCCAATCTGAAAATATCACTGACCTCATTTGTTCCATAAGAATCAGAACTTTTTCCTAATGATAACTGCTTTTTCCTGCGCTAATACTTGGATTTGGGGATTTTTAAGCTTATTTATATCAAACTTCTATTTTATTACACCTTATCTTTACTACAGGAAGGACTCAGAAGTGCAGCTATAATGGCATTTACATGGAGAGATCAGGCACTGATAGCCCATGTTGAGTCTAGGTGGATTAGGTGGTTAGTTGAAAAGTCTGTGCTCAGGTGAAATACATTGGTCTGACCAAAATTTTCATTCAGAAAAGTTTAAATTTTCCTGGAAAAAAAATCATAAGGTGAAGAACCTTGTGTAAAAAAATCTGTTCTGTGACTCTGGGAGTATTATATATTGGATAAGCCTGAGCTTCATGCTGGGTTATGTTACACTGATTTTGAAAGATGTGGCTCAGAGAACCAAAGCATCTGTTTTCATTATTCAGTAGATATTTGAAAGGTCAGAAAGCGGCGTCAAATGGATTTTAATCTTTCTAATATTTTCTAAAATGAGAACAAAGTAACTTTTTTGCAAGTATAAAACTGCTTCCGAAGACCATATTTTTCTGTATAAAATCACTTGAAATTGTCAACATAAGTGAATTGCAAAAGTGATATGGGCAGTCAGTAACACTGATATTCTGCTGACAATGGTGGCACACATCCTAGGAACTCCTGTTGTGAATCAATACAACAAACGCTCCCCAGATCTTCTTTCTGATGGACATCTATATAATGTTCTTTTGCCAAGCTCATCTGTATATGGACCAAGTTAGAGGATAGGCTGAAGGAGTTTAATCATTTCTACCCTGTGAGGGCACTTCATTAAAATCACATGAACTTGGATTTTGATTTATATGAAGAAACACCTGAATGACTTCAGAGATTATAAAGCAGCGATTTGATTCTGCAGCCCTCTAACAAAGTACATCTCCACATTTCCTCCCCACATCTCACTTCCCTTGGTGCAGCGCCCTTCTGTGTCCCATCATCAGAAGTGTCCCCTTTGGCAAAGGAGCTGTGTGTCGTTTTAGCGGTTTGCAGCAGAACTCTCAGGAAAGGCAGGCTTGAGTTATAAAAGTATATAACTTTTACTATAGGTATAGCTATAGGTACTTTTATAACAGACTCCATTAGGAGGCCCCAGGAAAAGAGAGAGACACATTTTTAACATTTGGAAAAGCTGTGCAGTTGCTGAATCTCAGGTACACTAGTTTCTGGAAGATAGCAGTAGTGTTGCTGGTTCTCTTAGTCACTATATCAAAACAATTTAGCTGGTATAATCTAGCATGGAAACTTTGATAAATTTATCTTTTCAAGAGCAATAAGATGGGACTTCTAAAGTACATAACTACTGTGAGCCACAGACTTGCAAAAAATGCGTACTGGAAAAGAGTTCAAGAGGGCTCTTGCATTTTGAAGCTATAGGAGAGGGTCAGTTGTACCTAGGAAATTAAGTATTTCATTATCTTCATTTGTAATAGATTTTCTTGATACATATTATAAACTTTTGTGCTGTTGTTTTTTAAGCCCTTCACTTAATATCCACATCAGATAAAAACAGTCACTCTCTGCTTCTTTGCAGACAGCTGATATAGATGAACATCACTTGCCTTTCTGTTCTTCAGACTTAGGAATCTCAATTCCCCAAACTCCCAATTCTATAGTTTCCTTTTTTGGGGGGGGAGAGGAAGGAGAGGGGACCTTTTTTTTCTAGATCTCTGCCCATTTTCTTTGCTCTCCCCTGTGCGCTCTCCTGTTGGTGTACCTTCTACAAGAACAGTTTTCCTGCAACAGGACACAATGCCACTGTTTGCTAACCAGAAATATAATGGGAAGATTCTCTAATGTATCTTACAAATAAAAAAGTTTATCTTCCTAATATACAATTTGCTTTCTGGTAGTAGTATCAAGTCAGTTAAAAATGTATAGCTTCAGACAGACTACAACTCTCACAGGCCTTTTTGATGCAATGGCTGCCTAAGTGGCATTGGTAACTGCCAATCCTACATCTTTACAAAGTATTAGTCCCACTAAGGACCTCCCACTTGTAAAGACAAGTGCAGTACACTATTTTTTCTTTCCCTTACAAACTTCTTATTTGACAAGAGCATTCAGCATTTAACAAACCATGAAATGGGTTTGCTATTCATCTAGGCTTAGTGTTTTCTGCACGGTTGAAGGATCATTCCTTTATGCGTCATTAACGAAAACATACCTGGCCTAGAACAGGCACAGCTGGAATCTCATTGATTATATTTTTTTGCTGTTTGAAAATGAACGATGATAAATGAATTATAAGGGTTGCTTTTCCTAGGTAGTTTTGTACTCCCTCTAAAGTACTTTCATTATGTTTTATAATTTACTTACAAAAATGTTAGCAATCAATGTGAATAGCATGAAAATTAACAAGTTGTATGATCTGCTTCTCCTGTATTTGAAACCTCTTACCCTTTTATAGAAAGTAAATTACTTTATATTTTTGGCATGTCGGCTACTAGCTTTTAAAATTACCTCTAAACCTTCTATGAATAACTTCTTTTGTTATTAATTCCGAGGCTTTTCCAAATTGATCTCTTTCTCATTTCTTGGCTTTTAGAAGATGAGCATCACAATTTTTTCACGTGACTTTGTGAATTTTCAGAGAGGAAACTAACAGCTCCAAATTTGCTTCACTGTATTCTCAGGGTATCCGCCAGTGCAGTTCCTCAGGCCTAGCCTTCACTATGGAGGGGATTAATTTCAACTTAATTTAGCTACCTATAAAATAGATATCTATGTCTGTGCTGGAGTTGAGGTTCCTGTCACTGTTGAGCGAGACTTGAGCTTTCTTGGAGATGTGCTGTAGAGACCTACCTGAGGTGAGTTGCAGTCTTTCCAAATTATTGTCAAACCTGTTGTTTTCCTGTTCTACAAGGATTTTTTCGTACTTGGTTTAGTCATACCTTTACAGATCCCCCCTTATGAAAGGTGATGCTCAGTGTACTTTACCCTTCTGTAAGTGATCACTGTTTTTTTTTCCTTTTTCATTACAGATTTGTTGTCTTGCTATCCGTTACGTCTGTTGCATTTGGCAGTTAAATTTGTGCTTTATCCTTTCTGATTTTTTTTCATTATTTCATGCTGTTCTTTCTTGTCCTTAGCAGTTTGATCTGGTTTCCACTTTCTGTACTTCTCCTTCTTGTGTTTCAGGTCATTGAAGACCATGTTGTTTAGCCAAGTTGGTCTCTGACCATACTTCCTATCTTCCTACTGTGTGGAATTGTTTGTGCTTGTACCCTAAACATCATTTCTTTAAGCAACTGCCAAATCTGCTGAATTCCTTCTGTCTTAGCTATGTTTCCCTTGAGAAATTACCTGCTGTATCCCAGGGTTTATTGTAATCTACTTGCATAGAATCATGGGGTTTGAATTGCTGTTGCTCTTTTTCTTTATCTAAAAGTAACATACATTATCACACCACAGTTTTTCTCAACCAGATTACCTTTACCCTCATGTTCCCAACTATCCTCTCTCTTGGTTGCTTAGCAGGCAGCCTCTTGGCAGGCTGCTATTGAAGTACTTGGCAGGCTCTGAAAGCTGCTGTAGACCATACACAGGGGGTGGTTAAATGCTGTTCGTTACACCCAGAGACAAACACAGCACACTGCTTTGTAATATACAAATTGAGATGATCACCTAAACATTCAGAAGGAAACAGTCACATCTTTTAGCTGAGCATTCAATCAAAAAGAGGATAAATACATATGCAGAGTGTTTCAGACTGTGTGCGTACAGAAGCACCTTGCCTGGCCTGAAGTTCAGGTAAGAAGAATATAGAACTTTTCTCCCTTTTCTTTGCAGACACGGGCATAAAGTGAAATAACATGTCTCTTTGACCTGCTTGTCATTCTCTGAGTCTTGTTCTATTTTTTCATTCCTTCAAGTAACGGTAATCTCCACTGAGGTTGTCTGATTGTAAAGTAAAATTTGCTTGCTGGTGTGTTTTCATGTTACCTTGATTTTCATGGTGTAGCTGAATCTGTACAAAGCAAGATTTATTTGAATTGTTTTTTACTTTTTTTTTTTTTTTTTTTAATTTATGCATTCAGAAATTGCCATGGAATCTCAGTAAACAAACTGGGATGTTTCTGAGCTTTTGAAATCATACCATGATGAAGTGCATCTACAGAGGGGTTTTAATTGTCTGTTTTTTATTCTGTTACCTCTCTCAAGAACAGAGAAGTTGAACACACAGCTAAAATTTGATGCTGCAGGGATTCTGGTGTCTGAAGAGAGAATGGCTTTTGTTCATTTTCTGGCTTTGCTAAGGATAAAACACATCTTGACTCTTATTATTTCAATACAATTTACAGTTGCATAGGATTTTGTCAAACTTCAAGTGTTCAAGCAGAATTTTTCCGTGTTGGATATCTGCCTGTGGGTATTATTTTTTTTAAAAGTCTTTCAGCAAAAATAGCTGATAGCCTTTTTATACTGATCTTTTTTGTCACATCAAGTGGTTCTGGTAACCTTTCCTCTGAAAATTTCAGATATTCCACAGATGTTGCAGAAAGCATTTAAAAATGAGGTGATGTATATTCTCAGAGAAACCTTAGCTGGGTTGAGGTGGCACAGGGAAGTAAGCTGAGAAGTAAGCCACCCCATTTAAATAGCAAGGCAAGCATGAGCAAGATGTTTTTGGAAAGTGCTGAGGATAACTGGCAAAATAGATTCAAAGAATGAAATCAGTGGAAAGAAACTGCCTTGAAAGGCAGTGAGAAAATTGGTGTGGGAGGGAATGGAAAAGAAAATTTGTCATTTTTTGTTTGGGAGATACTAAATTTGCTAGAAAAGGTAAAGAACAGCATGGGATGTGCTTACAGACCTCAGAAGTGAGAAGCAGTGAGGCTGTGTAGGAGGTTTGGAAGAGGAAGGAGAGACAGATCTGAAGAGCTGGGCTCAGAAGTGTTGTGGGTGGGGAGACTGTAAGATTGACTGAGGAAATTAAGGGAGTAGTTTGGCAGTTAGAGCAGGCAGAGACCTTGTTCATGCATGGGGAAAGCTGAACATCAGCATCAGGATGAGACCTGATGGGCATCTGGGAAGCTGGAAGCCAGGATTCGCAAACTGACAGGGAATTATATGAGAAGCCTTTTGGAGATGAGGTGAGGATTTGCTGACACTGGGTTAAAAGCTTGAGAACTGGAGATGGGGACTGGGGAGTAAGGGGGGCCCACCTGGGCTTATGGCTGAGGGACAATCACTGGTGCCTGTATAAATACTTTGTCCAGCAGGAGGGGAAGGCAGTGCTGGGAGTAAAGTGCAAGCAAGTGGGATTTGAGGTACCAGAATTGGAAGAATCTGAGCAGGTCATGCAAATAGAGACGGTGAGGGAAGCAGGGGGAATTTGTGCTAAGGATCACTCTCCACCAGTGACAGGAATGACATCCAGCATGCCTGAATCTCACTATTTTGTTGCTGTCGGCAGACAATTCTGATGGTCTTGGGTCTCATCCTTTTCAACCCCAGGCTTGATCAGAAGATAACCTGCTGCAGTATTGGTTATTCTATCAGGGTGAGTACCACAAGAATGACCAAGGTTGATAAGTTATCACTAACAGTGATTTTTGTGCATGGTATTATGATGCTGCATTAAGACGTTTTTCAATAGCTTTTCATAGTTGCATGTTGTTGTTTAAAGAAACGTTCTATTATGCTCAATTTGGTATACAGTTCACAGGTGATAGATGTGTTCTAGGGCTGTGCAGTAGGTTTCCTGCTGTCTACAGCAAAAGGGTAAAAGGGGGAAGTTTTGCAGTGAATCAGGAAACTATGATAAGAATTTGAATTATCTGACAGAATATTCTTGTGTGGTTTGAGACACCCAGCTTTTCAGAGTCTGGGTGATGCTCTGTTTTTTGGGTACCCAAGCAGGCTCTGGAACCATATTTGCAAACGTTCTTAGCATACCTTGTCATGGTATGTCAGGAAACCGAAGACCTAGTAATTGGTATAATAACAAACACAGGGATTTTATGAGGACAGATGTCCTATTAAACAAGCATGCACCATTTTCTAAGGTTTTCTTCTATACTCTTTTTTTCCTTTTCTTCCTCCTTTGCAAGTCCCTTAGGCTCATCTAGATTCCAAAGAAGAAAAAGTTGTTACTCCCCCATGGTGTAAGTGACTGTTGATGCATACTGGGATTTTGAATTAGCGGTTTACATAAGAAGATCCAGCAGCCATTACCAGGTATCCAGGCAGAAGATATAAATCTTGTTCTTACGTGGTCTGCCCGGTCCTGAGTACGAACAGGGCCCTGACTAACCTTGCGCACCCCCAAGGTTCTCTCCACTCTGCCCAAGGCCAGAACACCAACCTCTGGGCCATCAGCCCCTGCCCCATCAATGCTGCAGAAGGGCTGGGCTCCAGCACCCCAGAGACCTGCTTGGCCATAGGCCTGGCCCAACCAACCCCACTCTTAGGACCTTGTCACCATGGCCCTCCCTGATGATCCTACTGGCTGAAGCTGGCCGCCAATTCCAGGTCTTTGGTGTTCAGAGGCAGGGGGGATGGGTGAGGCCCTGCCATGCTGGCTGTGTTGTCATTGCTGCCCGTCCCTATGGGAAAAGCTATCCTTCGCTGCTCCTTGACAGAATCTTCTTTGATATTTGTTCTTCTCCATCTTCACAGAACTACTTTTGTGGTTTTTCTGCCCCCTTTCTCAGCCTCCCTTTCCCACAGCACCTTTTGATCAGGCTGCACAGAGTTTCTGTTTCCCATGGCCCCAGTTCCTCCATACATCCTCACATTGCAGCTCCCTGACTGGGATTTTTTTCTGTCAGACTCTGCTGTTTTTTCCTGTGTCCTCCTTTTTTTCTTCATTGCTTTGGTTCTTTTCATTCCCAGATTGGGTTTTGTTTGTGCTTGCTCTTTTGTGTGGTGGTTGGTAGCAGTTTTAGCGTACTGGCAGCCTGAGTGGTGTTGGCATCCCGGAAAAGGAAGATTTTAAGGAGTGATTTTAAGTAAAAAATGCACTCAATTTGTATATACTTCAGAAACTTCTTCCAGAGAAAGAAAGCAAGCAGGGAAAATAGCAAAAAAAGCAGTGTTTATTGGGGGCTAGTGATATGACTGATTAGAAGGTAAAGTTGTGCTTTTAATTCTGCATGAGAAATAACAAGTTAGGAAAAGTCTTGGAAGACAAGGAGATGAAATAGGGAAGGAGAATTTAGTAGATGTAAAATGATGATGTGATGAAAACAACGAACAGCTTAATGATGGCTTTGAGGAGTGTTGCACTGCAGTTGCTGAGGCCAGAAAGAAACCTGCTACAGTAATGAAGGTCTGATATGACAACAGCAGAGAATGAGACTTATCTATGTGCGTGTGCTAGAAATTGTGACGTTGTACCTGTCTCACTGCAGTGAGGTGTAGTTTTCTGTAGGATTTCCCTGTCAGCCTCCTTCTCAGTCCAGGTCCTGTGCTGTCCCCTCACTGAGTTTGTACCTGTTCTTCTATAGCAAGCAAGTGCCAGATTCTGTACCTGAGAGAGGGCAATCCTGGATATACATAAAGACTGGGACAAAAGGTGGAAGAGCACCCTTGCAAAAGGGGATCTGGGAGTTCTGGTTGATGGCAAGTTGAATCTGAGTCGGCAGTGTGCCCTAGCAGCCAAAAGGGCCAACTGTACCCTGAGGCACACTGAACCCAGCACTGTCAGCTGGGCAAGGGGAAGGATTGCCTTGCTCTGCTCTGTGCTATGCTGCCTCACCTTGAACAAAACTGGGTGCAGTTCTGGGCACTACAACGTAAGACATAAAACTTTTGGAGAATGTCCAAAGGAGTACTGTGAAGGTGTTTGGGGTCTAGAGGGCAAGACATATGAGGGGTAGTTGAAATCACTTAGTTTGTTCAGTCCAGAGAAGGGGAAACTGAGGGGAAGCCTCTTGGTGCCCTGCAGATCCTCACGAGGGCAATGGAGGAGTAGTGCTGAGATCTGTGTTCTGGTAACAACGACAGGACCCAAGGGAATGGCATGGATCTGCATCAGGGTTGGGTCATGCTAGGTATTAGGGAAAGTTTCTTCACCAGAGGGTGATGGGCATGGAGCAGGCTCCCCAGGGCAGTGGTCATGGCCTGAAGCTGCTCAAGTTCAAGAAACATTTGAACAACATTTTTAGAAATATGACTTGAATTTTGGCTGATCCCACATGGAGCCAGATCAGATGCAATGAGCCCTTGGCAGTTTGCAGCCTACTGAAATTTCCTAATCCACTAATGATTCTCCACTTCACGGAAAAGGGAAGCCTACCTGCAGAGACTCCTGTTACTAGGCTCTCCTTTCCTCCTGTCCATCCATAACAAATTCAGTGGAAATGGGGAGGCTGTAGATTTGAGTGATCAAGGGGCACACTCAGAACTGTGTCCAGCAAAGCTTGCTTTTTCCTGTTCTTTTTTTTGTGCATCATCCTGTCCTCACCTGCTATGTACCTACACACATATAGGTATGCATGTATTTGCATTTGTCTTTTCAGTGGGGTTAGCGGGGTGTAAGTAGAGAAAGCAACATAGCTGCTGAGAATGTTATCTTTTTACAGAGATTTTCCCTGCCTTCCAGTGACTGGCCCTACTGATACCTTTCTTCACCTGTGGCTTCGAATCTGTCACGAACACACGTAAGTAATGTTGCCTTTTCATTCTTCTAATCTGAAAAGTCCCACTTATCTTCTAGTAGAGTGCAGAAGATCACCCATATGCTCAGGTGTGGCCAAGGTCTGCCTGTGCCAAAAAGTTAGCTTGAGACACACCTATGCAAGTTTATCACCTGGAGACTATATATCCTTATCAACCCACTTGGTTAGTTTACTTGGAGCAAATAATATGCCAATGTAACTATTATTAATATGTTCCTGAACTGTGCATATATTTGTGTGTATATGAACACATAGATGTGCATATTGTTTAAAAATACGTAGGTTGCTCTGAAAATAATGCCTCCTACTTATTTCCATGGAAACTGTAACAAATACAAAGACCACATTAACACTATTCGATAGAGCAAATTCTCTATTGAAATCTCTCATTGAAAAATGCTATTTTTCAATGTAGTCACCACCATTAGATATGCATTTTTATCAGCAGCGAACAAGAGCCTGCATGCCCCGCTCATAAAAATCTACTTAGCCATCTGGAACGTGGCTTGTCCTTCACATCACTGTCACCACTGCTGAAACACACCACCCACTGCCTCACTGTGATAACATTCACTGTTTGGTCTCCATAAATAGTCTGCAAGCATCAGTGAATGTCAGTGGGTACAGTTTTTTCCACATGGAGGAATTCTATTCCGCATCTTTTCTTTGTACGCAATTCCATATCAGACATCATTTTGTCAGACTGCCCCTCTGCTGCCATCTGTCACACAGCAACAAAATGTAATGCAGTGTTGGTGGGAAGGTTCAAACTCTACCACCAACATCCACCTCTGGTGCTGTGGGCCAACATAATAAAACAGGAGGCATTACTTCTAAAGCAACCCTCATACATATGTATACATGCGCATGTTGGGTATTAGGAAACAGTTCTTCTCTGAAAGAATGACTAGGCAGTGGAACAGGCTGCCCAGGGAGATGGTTGAGTCATGTAGACTTGGTACTAAGGGACATGGTTTAGTTGGATGCATATTGAAAGTAGGTGCACGGTTGGACTAGATGATCTGAGAGGTCTTTTTTGATTTTAGTGATTCTTTGATTCTCTGTCAATAGAACACATGATGAAGGGAGAGTTGAGATGGAGTTGAGAAAATATTGGAAGTCGAAGATCAAATTCTATGTTTTCTTGCAATCTTTAGAGTGATCTTTTGCAGCCAAGAAAATGCAAAAATATTGGCTACATGCCATAGAATGTAACCAATGTGTAAAAATGCTGCATTCATTTGCATAAATATTGTAACAGTTTAATGTACACACCAGTAAATAGTTAATATATGTAACTGTGTATTTATTCATGTTGTTCATACTAAACTCGGTAAGAAATGTCATTTTTGCTGTTCCAGTCCTACAAAATCTAACCTGTGTTATGTTTCCTTGTTGACAAAAAGGCAGATTTCCAGTTTAGAAGTATCTTCATCTTCCTTCCTGTGAAAATACTATGAATCTGAAGGCATTAATTTTCCTTCTCCCAAATTTCATTTTTGGGATATTTCTTTTTGGGTTTTTCTGTAGAAGACAAAAAAATCTAATGGGTGAGTAAAGAATTTACCAGCATAACCAGTTTCTAGAAGCAAGTCTACCCTTCCTAAATGTGTTAGAAAGTAATTATGAAGCTCACTGTAAGAAAATCTGCTGTCACTCTGACAACTGTCTTAGTACTGTTTGGGAAGAAAGCTACAAAAAATGTTTGATATTAAAAGTGCTTGAACACCCTCCTCAGAGTAGTATGGCTAACACGTTGACAGTTTTCATTTTAATGAACTTTTCACTAAGCAGGATAGCTTTTTGCATGTTTGCTGCATTAAAGTCAGATGACAACAAAGATTGATTTTAAAATCCTTTTTTGATTATGTATGCAGGGAGATAGACATAGGTAACTCTTAGATAATTACACCAAGAAAAGGTTATGTGTATTTCACACTAACAGTTTAAACTTCTTCCTTAGTTGCAGATTCTTTTCCTGGTCTCACTGAAGATTGGCTAACAATTCAAAATGATCGCAGAAACACACTGGCTTCCCTCTGCCAGAAGAACAACCTCATTAAATTAAAAAGTGCATTGGATTCTCTTGTTGCAAGCCGGATTTTTGTGGAGCACAAACATAAATTTACCTACTGTGAGGTGCCCAAAGTAGGCTGCTCTAACTGGAAGAGAACTATTTTCATTCTCCAAGAAGGCTTGAATGTGGAAGCTTCTGAAATTGAGCATGACCATATTCACCAAACCTCACTGATCAAAAGGCTGAGTGCTTACCCTCCTGCCATGCGAGAGGAATTTCTAAACAATTACACCAAAGTGATGTTCACCAGACATCCATTGGAACGGCTGGTGTCGGCTTACAGAGACAAGCTTCTGCACTCTGAGCCATACTATAGTACCACTGTTGCTAATCAGATTAAGGCAATGTTCAGGAAAAACAAAAATTCCTCTGAAAAAGTGAGTTTCCAGGAGTTTGTCAGTTTCATTACAGCGAAACCACCAAATACTCTTGACATTCACTGGAAACCAATGTTTCTACTCTGTGATCCTTGCAACATTCACTATGATATTCTGGGCAAGTACGAAACTCTTGGGTTAGATTCTGTGCAAGTTCTGAAGGCAATTGGTGCACCAGAGAGCCTGCAGTACCCCAGCTTGAAGAGATATGGCTCAGAGAAACGAACTAATAGTGATATCACCTTGGAGTACCTCAGACAATTGAGCTTAGAACAAATTGAGAAGATACAAAAATTATATCAAATGGATTTTCTCTTGTTCAACTATACTTTGAAATATGAGAACTGTGACATTAATGCAGCTTAAACAGTGAAAATTTTCATTCATACAAGATGAGCTTGAACTTGTCCTCAAAGGTGCTTGATGTATAGGTATATTACAGATGATGCGATTTTAGTGGTGTTTAGAGACATGGTTTTATTCGTTGTAAGCACTCATAACAAATCTGTGCTTTGATCTGTGGTACAGTGTTTAGCTATATGATTTTTTTTTTCTTTCTGATAATCATATAGATATGTTTGCGTCAAAAAGGCTGCTTGTAAAAGATAGATTTTTTTAGTCGGTTGGTAGAAGAAGAGAGAAGGGTGAAGAATGCTGTTCTTCACAATTAGTATTTTACAGAATTTTTTTATTAAAACAATATTTTTTTTAAGAAAAAGACATAAAGCAATAGATAATATACTTAAGTGTTAAACCATTCTGTCTATAAAAGCCTCAAACATGAATCCTGTAGGAAAGAAGCAAATAACTTCAGATACTTGGACCTGTGTTAGAGAACTTAATACCTGATTATATTCCTCTCTGGCAGTGCTCTTCCTGCAACATGCCAGCCTCTTCCATCGAGCAACATCTTCAGCTGCAGTCCAGCAGGTCTCCCCTTATGTGTCTTCAGATTCTTTTTACCACCTTTGTGGATATGATGATCTGATCTAAGAGGAAAATCTAAAAAATGTCTTCCTTAGAGATGAAATTAGGGGTACTTTCTAGACTGTACAATGGAGGTGGTGCAGGATCTGAAGTTATGGTGGGAATGTGGCTCTGACCTATTCTCCAAAAGTACTTAGCACCAACTAATCAGCCAGTCAACAAAGGGGGGACACTGTTGAGGCTTTTCACATCTGTAGCTGCTGGAGATCATGAGCCTTGGAGACTTACCTGAATAAGATACTTAGGTGAAGGTGATATATAACAGGCTCTACCTGTTGCTTTCTCACCTCACAGAAAGATGAATGCAAATTAACTGCAGAGTTATGGTGAGGGAAACAATTAAGAGTGTGTGAGAAGCCATTTAAAACATAATCCATCTCTTCCAGTCTTAAGTGGCTTTCGTTTTAGATCAGGGAGATCTGTTAAGTACTTTTGCCCTATTTTTTGGAAACCTAGTCCCACTGAAAATGATTTGCTATCATGTCAATTGTAACTATTTTCAGAAATTTTCCATTAATTTCACTTTAAGCAATGCTGATTTCTGGAGCAAACTTTAACTGCACTTAACAGTGAGATTTAAGAGATTTTATTTCCTACCATCTGTATCTGCAAATAAACAAAGACTGGCCAGGCTAGTCCTTGATCCAGTGATGGTTCACAGCTTATTACACAGAAAAGGACAAGATAATTTAATAGCACTGGAGCTTACTAGCTGTGTAGCCATTCCTGACAGCAGAATGGCCTAGAATAGTTAAAAGGAGATTGGGAAAAGTGGACGATCTGAGAACTCCTGAGAATTATTGGGAGGGCTCCTTGTGTAGTCAGTGGGATTTAGGGCTGGTCTACTCCAAAGAGAAGTGATATATTGGTCATCAGCTGGAAACAGACCATGGAAAGAGGTAGAGGCAGAAGAGGGTGTGTGCAGCCCTTCGCAATGGCTGATTGTACATAAAGCCAGGATTGCTGTTCAGTATGTCTTGCAGTTCTTGAATGGATAACTATTTCATAAATTGGACAGCTTTGGCAAAGAAAGGATCCAAAGCAAGAAGCCTAAGCAATCTCAACAACTTTAAAAAATTAAAATCTTGTATTTCTCTTCCCAATGATTCACGGCTCTGAATCATCATATTTGGTATCCCTACAGTCCTATTATCCCCCAACATTCATGCCTCTCTGGACAGCCTGTACTTTATAAAGTTTTTAAATTATTTTATTTGTGCTGAGGCAGAGGAAGCTGAAAAAGAATTCCCATTGAAGTTCAGTCTGCACAAAAGGATGTGGCCTTTGTCTTTCCTGAATCAGATTTAGTGCCATCTCCAGCTATATACTACTCCTATCTTTTGTCAGATCATGAGGAGAAAAAAGAGGGAAAATAAGATTTGCTTGATAACTTTCTTCTGCATGATAACTCCTTCCAGAGCTGTAAGCTTCGGCACAGGTACTTAAATTTTTTGCCACCACCAGCCAACCTAGGAAATGTCTGAAGAAATGGTACTGATGAAGGTATCTGCTTGTCAGTACTTTTGTGTTAACACTCCTCACCAATTTCGTGCTGTTATGCATGGGTGGCTTTCTATTCTTACTTCTTCTTTCTCATGGAATCACATATATATTCTTCCTACAGTGGCGACAGAAAATGGATGGGTAATACATTTGTCACCAAATGCTAGTCAGTAACTGGGGGCTACTGATGCAGAAAAACCTCTGTAGCTATTCATGACAGACTTTCAGACTTCTAGCATTTATCTATATGCAAACTGTATGCAGTAAATTTCCAGGAACTACTTGCTGCTGTAATTATGTCTAGCTGATGTGGATCTCAACAACAATCATGGAGGATGTAAGTGTGCACATACAACTTCAGATATTCTGGAAGGAAACAGTGTACAAGAACAGTTGTGTATCAACACTAACAAAAGGAGGATGATAGTTGAACTGCTGGAAAGTAGAGGGAAAAAAAAAAAAAAAAAAAAAGGCCATTACCTTGTAAAGGCTGCTATAACATTCTCCTGCAGGTCTCTGTCCATGCTCAATCCAGCTCACTACATTTCTACCTCTCAGCTTGCAAATAATCCGCATCTTCTCCCTTCCAAGAGCTGCTGTTCGGTGAGGCAGGAGCACACGAGCTCTGCAGTATTTCAGAGTTGTTGGTGACTTGTTTTGTGCTGTCAGTGGAGACCGTGCCACTTGCTTTATTCTCCAGGTGACTCGTAGGGCTCATTTCACGAAATAGCCTTTTAAGTTCTCCAATTAAAAGACTTACCATTATTTCATCCTTGGTACTGCAATATAATAAAACTTGATGGAGGCTCTTGACCTAATCCTAATTAGTCTGAAAGAACTTCAAGACACCTGTACACTTAATTGTGAAAAGGAGAAGACAATTACCTCTTGAGAAGAGGTAAGTAGAGAAATTTCTTGCACTCTCCTCTCTACAAGTGTACTATCCAGAATAGAGGCTCCTGGCTGAACCGGCTCCCACCTATGCTTGCAGGAGAAGAATGTCTGGGGGACTTCATTCATTTCAGCTCTAACTCTGGGTATTGGTTTCCTGGGAGGAAGTTGGGTTCTTTCAGATGGGTCAGGGATGAAGGCAGCGTGGAGGGGAGAGAGGCTCAGGTCTCAGAGTAGATTAGAAAGGGTAGAGGATTGCTACAATTGATCTTCTGATTTATCATTATATTTGTCTGTGATATAACTGTTGCTATGCTTTATACCTAATTACTGTAATAAATGGTAGTGAGTTAATACATTAATCCATTTGTTCATCCTTCTCAGTAACATCTGTTTTTAAAGAAAAACCACAATGCTTAGGGCTGTTCCATCAAATCAACGTAGCCACAAGCTATTGGACAACAATTAAAAGCCATTTGACTTCTTCAGTACTTTAATATAAAGTTGTCTCACAGGATTTTGGGAAGAGTTGGAAGAATGAGGAAGTATTAATGGACATTCAAGTTTGGATAAAATACAAAGCTAAGGTGGGAAAATAAGAGAAGCAAAAATCTTGCAAAATCAAATGCTGCTTTCCTTCAAGTCTTTGTGAAGGTATAAGAGATCCCGTGGTTGACTGATGTCCATCTACAACAGAGACCATGTCATCAGTTATTTCCTTAAACAGACATTTCCTCCAATTAAAAAAAAAAAAAAAAGTATCAGTGATTCTGTCCTTGAATAGTCTTAATTTTTCGTACAATTCTGAACGCATCTTAAAATAACAGGCAACTGATGAGTAGTGGTTTCTTGTTCAGAGAACTTCCCAATGCAGTGCTGCTGCCAACAGAATAAAAGATATCTACAGGTGAACAGTATGAGCAATGAAACTTCAAGTTCTTGCAACTACACTGAATGTCCTCTGACCAAGGGGAAAAAAAAATAAATTTTACTAGTGCAAGTCATTGTTCAGGTGACACAGCTCATAGCTGGGAGATGACTGCTTCCAACTTCAGAATGCTAATATGTCAAAAGACATAGTCTCTACAGTCTCCAGTTTTCCTGTCTTGTCTCTATCACAACACTTCTTATCTCCTTCCCAGAATTATATGCCAGATCATGCTGTATGATTAAAAAAAAAAAGTTAATGTCATACAGCTTACATAAATTAATGTAAGGCAAACCAAATCAAAATAGATGGCTAATTTATCTGATAGAAGTGCCTGAAATTGAAGGAGGCCCTCTTGGAAGTTTTGGGTGTTGAATATACACAGGTGTACAGTTACAGTGCAGCTTCTAATAAGAATTGTTTTTACGGAAAAAGCACAAGTGATCATAAATCTCAGTCGGTATACTGATTGAAATTAAAGTGAATCAGCAGATTCAAAATGAGCAATGCATCACTGGATCAGGTTAGTGAAAAGAAACCAGTTTATCACAATTTCAGCACTATCTGTTATCACTTTTGTTCACAACTGCTGGCGTGCTTCTTCATGTTGCGTTGCACCTGACAGATCCTTCCAGAGCTTCCCATGGAGACATACTAGTGCTTATTGTGATGAAAGGGTTTTTTTGAAAAGTCTTCACTATTCTCCTCCAAAGAGATGTTGTTAACAAGCTTAGACATGGTTTTCAGCATTCCCATCAAAGGTAAACAGTTCAGATGTTGCTGGAATTCAGAGAAGAACTTAGCACAAGTACCTGAAGCCAGGTAAGCATATTCCAGTTTGTAACTCTGTGATTTAGCAGAGCTTTAGGGAAAGACTTTATATATACATAAACCTATGACTAATATCCCACCACACTGATTGTGTTGTCCCCTCCCCCCCCCCCCCCCCAAACTTTTTCTAGACTCCTCCACATTCACCTGGAGTCCTACTGAGTTCCCACAGCTGGGGGCCAGCAGGCAGGTGCTGCAGATGCTGGCTTACTCAGGCACAACTTGCCAGGTGCAAGTTGTTGGATGTATAGCACCAGTTCTCTTTGTGTGAGGGCACCTGCTCCACAAGTGAAACATTCATATAAGGCGAATTGTGATTATTAAGTGAAGGAGGTTTTGAAACCATGTTATTTTCCCCCTGAAAATGGGCTTACCTTCCATTCAGATTTATCAGCCAAGGGTGAAAGATAATTTGGGGTTTACCAACACTATCAAGTCTCAGAGGCTTCTGTTAATGATAAATCAGGAGATGCAGGAAACCCTCCTATTTTAGGATTGCCTTCCTCTTGAATTCTGTTTACTTCCAGAGATTTAAGACTTGTCACCAGTTGTCCCTACATGATAAGGGACCCCCTTGGAGGGCCACTGCTAGCTTTTGATAAGAATATAAAAGTAAAGTAACAAAACTTGGAGGAAATCCACTTGACATCTGGCCATTAAAGACATTGATTCTGGGTCCATTCTATTCCAGAAAGACAGCATTATGTAAGAAGAACAAGGGAATTTTTTTTAAAAATTTTATTAATTCATTAGATTCTTATCCGAAATGCTGAGATTAACATTTTTGCTTTTTTGTTTGTTTAGAATTTTTTTGCCTTGCTGCATAGCAAGTACTACTATAGGTAGTGCCCTTTAGGTTTTCTATTTTTAAATTAAGGGTTATAACAGTGCTTTTCTTTGTAGTAGGGTTCTTGACATGCCAAGCCAGACACCCGCTTAGCTGTATACCCTATCAGAATTTGGACTTACTCAGTGAGTTCCTGCTGCTCTTGTTTACACAGCATGTGATGCTCAGGAGTTATCCCGTCTCAGTGCTGGCAGCTGACTGCATGCTACAAGTTAGGCATTTATTGCAGTCTGTGCCAAAGCTTTTCATTCCTCTCGGCTTTTTCATTTTTACTTGTATCCAAAACAGATTTTGCCTCCATGTTCTGCAAACTGCAGGTTTAGGAGTTCATGAGAATGTTTTGTCTTTCTAAAATTGTACAGATATAAATAAATAACAGCTCTGAAATAGCTATTTAAGCTACTTATTTTGTATGTAGGTTGTTCTATACGTTCTTTATATGAATTGAAAACTTGCAGTCTTAGAAAATAACATACAGTGCGGTTCCAGATTGCTTTTCTGGAGGTATCTGCCAGATTGATGGTTAACTCCCTTGAATCTTTCAGCAAAGTGAAGTTGTAGAAAGTGAGCCTGAAATCGATCCCAGGAGTCTATCTGTACCAGAATGTATCCACCATGTTCTTTGCTGGCTCCTGGCACCGATATCCCCTACTACGTTCCTGATTTTATCTCCTGGCCCTGCCACCTATTTCTGCCTGCAGCTGACTGACAAAGCTGTTTTTCAGCAGCTCATCAAGCCCCTTTTCTCAGGCTTAGCACCCGGACTGTGTTTCACAGATTTGTTTATTTTTTATTTTTTCCTGCTCCGATTGAAGTATTTGCAGTTCCAGGCAGCCTCCATCTCTCCTGAAGCAAGGTGCCCTAAGCTGTGTCCAGTCCTGTGAACTTGGGAGAGTTGCATGGATTGAAAGAGTGAACTCAGGTTTGACCCAGATTATATTCCTATTTGTACTGTGAATTTCTTATCGCTGTTATACCTTTCATATTAATAAGACTGAACCATAGTCCTACATCCAAAGGTTGCAGGACATGAGACCTGGATTCTAATCCAGACTTGAACCTGGAGCTGTTCAAACTTCAGTTGCATATGGGTAGGCTTTTGGAGAAGTATACATTTTTTTGGCACAGCTTTGGAAATTTAACAGATTCAAATGCCCGTAGGTCTTTGAAGCTAGTAACCGATTATTATGAGGCCATCTGGTGGTGAAGTGTGTGCCAGGCAAGAGTGAAATAGTCGGAAAAAGAGGTATGTGCTGTCTTGTTTGTTCCAATCCTTTCATTTTAACCTGAAGTCTTGTATCTCAAGCGACTCGTGCCTGTTCGTTCCCTCCTGCTTTTCTCCCTCTGATTCCATCCCTCTTTTACTGGAACAAGAATTCAGTTTCAAACAAGTTGTTTTCTCAGCCCAGTACTTTTGTCTTCTGTTTGCTACAAACATTCCTCTCTAATGGATCTGTGGACTACCCAATTTGCTCTCTTTTCTTGCAACTTGTTAGGAAAATACAGCATTATGAATTTAACTTATCAGCTTCCTTATTAAGCTGTAACTTTATGATTCAGTGTTTTTCAGTTGCCTGTGTTTGCGCATGCATTTTGTTTTGTGTGCTTTATCTCTACTACTGGCTTACGAAGAAATTTATCCACTTACTCTCTTGGAATCTTTTTATGACCTTCATATGATCATCTGGAAAATAAGGAGTTACATAGTTATGCGTGAAGGTGCAACCTGCCATTAGGCATTCTGTCTGTAAAGTGCAGCTCAATATGTTTATTATTCACCTCAGATAAAATTCATCTGTTGTATTTGCGTGATAAAAGCTGCAGATAACATTGCTTTTCAGCAGCCCATATATATGTGTATCAAAGATAGAAGGTTTTTATAAAAAATGGCCAAAAGTTACCTGTCCTACTGAGGGAAGTGCAGTTCCTAAAATGAAAACCAATACCCAGAAACTTCATTTCAGTTTTCCTATATCTTTTCAGCCCAGCATTTTCTTTTCTGAAGGTGCTTTTGTCCTCATGAGGCAAATTCTCAAGTCCTTTGGTAAGTACTTCAATAGCATTTTAAGTGAAACTAGCTTCATTATTCTTCCAACAGATGTGCAGAAGAAAAGTAATTAGATTTTAGTAAACGGGGTAATTAATAGTCACTGTTCCCAACTGAAAATAGATAAACAGATAGATAGATAGAGCTAAAACCGAAGACTGACCTTCAGGTTGGCAGCTGTCCCACTGGGGAAGTAAAGGACTTCTCCCTGTGATTTTTTCCTTTGCTTTCTGTGTGGTCACCATGCAGCTTTGCAAAATGGTACTTACGTAAGGTAATGTCACAGAGTTGACTAGATCAATCTATGCCCGTGATGGGGGGGGCAATAAGCCCCTGCCCACCCCCCCACCCCAGCCCCACAAAATGGGAAGGAAGGAAGGGAGGAAAAAAACAGCGGCAACAATCTATGGAGGAAAACTTATAATTTTACTATGATACCGGAATACAAGATAACACAATGTAATACAATTTAATTGAAATTGAGACTAATAAATCAAACAAGATAGGAGAGAGAGAGTTCCCGAGACTGAGTCAAACCTGAAGAGATTGAAATGGCCAGGAAAGCACCCTCCAGCACCCACTGCCAGGCTATAAGAGATCACGCCCCACCCGGAAGGGCCGGATCCCGTGACTTCTGTAATGTGCAGGGATAGGTACCTGGAACTGGAGCATTAACACTTTAATGCCCAGTACACTACATGATGTTTTGATGCGGAATACTGAAAACCAAAAAAAAAACAAAAACCAAAAAAACCCCAACAACATAAAACCATGACAGGTAAATACATTAAATACAGGAAGAAAATATCCCTGACATTTTTTGTTTGCTTGTTTGTTTGTTTTTCATCATGTTGACAGGTGTTTTTATGTCAGAAAAAAATGTTGTTTTTTTCCTTATTACTTCTGCAGTAGTATTTCATTACAGCACACAGATATGGCATTGCTAATGTTTACGTCAGAGTCCTGGGTAGTTTACTGTCACGTACAGAACTCAAGAAACCTATCAGAGAGATAATAGTGTATGAAACCTCAGAATTTATCCAATAGGCTGAAGGAGAATAGAGAGAAACTTAAATTCTGATTTGAGAAACAAGCAAAGAAACAGAAAAAATGACTACAAACCAAACAAAGTATGGTCTTGATCCTAGGCTAGACTTCGTAATGGTTTGCTTTAGGAGAAATTGAGAGCTAACATTTATTTAAAGCAGAAATCAGAAATTGTTTTCCACTCAGCATAGTACCTGCTTTTCTTTCCAACTGGTATGAAAAGAAATTCAAATATCATGCATGTTATCACAGAAAAAGCTTGGAAAAAATAAACTCTTAGGCAAGCTTTTTGTACATTACTGTATTTACTTAGTGATTTACTCTTGCAACCTTTAGTGCAGCAGGCTGTTTGCTGGTTACATGGCACCAATAGTGCCGTGCATCATTAAGGTTACAGTGCTGTCAATGCGTGACTTTTTAAGCGTCTTCTCAGACGCTTTTCAGAGGCAGTACAGAGCCTTTTGGACTCGAAGGTGAAACAGAATAGGAGATACCTGTTCCAGAGGAAGCAGGAACTGGCGTAACCCTTGGAAGCACCAAGCCTGTCCCGCTCTGAGACCGGCTCCCCGCGGCGCGGGGTTGGGCCGCTCTCTGATCGTGACGCTGTCCGCGGTGCTGAAACGGCCCCGCCGCCTGGTGGCTCCGTTCCCGCTGCGCTGCTGCCGTGAGCCGGGCTGCTGGGCTGGGACAGCGAGCACAGGTGCCGACCGGCATGTGGGTAATAGGCAGCACCAAAGTCAACGTTGTTGTAAGCAGATAGGCACTATTTTCAATTAGGTCACGTTGAAGCACATATTAAAAAACTCTTAAAAGCCCCTCTATTCTGAGCAATTTTGCACAAGAACAAAATAGACCTTCAACATTAAAAAAAAAAAAAAAAAAAAAAAAAAAAAAGACTCATTGATATCCTAGAGTGTGGCTATGACATTACAGTATGTACTGGGTTTTTAATGCAAAATTTGTCAAACGAACTGGCAAAGCAAACTGTGTGGACAAATAAGTATTTGTTAAGGAAAAAATCATGTAACTATTAAATTGGTTTAGTAAAAAGTTTTAAGATTTCTCCAGTATTTTCCCACTTCAAAGGGAAATAAAAGCCCGTGACTGTTGGAATATGAATTTCTGCTATTTGTGCAGTAACATCCATCATTATGAAGACGATTTCAGCTCAGCTACCATGACTGATTCACTGTTAGAATAAATGCTAGTAGTGATGCTTTCTCTGGAAAACATTAGATTCTGCTTTTATCTTTGTTTAAATCTAAGCTACTGATGCTATTTCATTGCTCTCTGTAATCAGCAGAAGTTTTATAATTTATTCTTTCCAATGTGTTAAACCTGGGTTAGCTTCTCGCTGAGATGTCTTAATTTCATCTGATAGGAAATAAGCATGATTTGCTCTTAATATACTTCCCTGGAATACACGAGGAACAGGTAAAATTAAAGTTCTAGAAATGATGGTGTGGGTGCGCATAAAGAGACACATTCTGCTCTTCTTTACACTATTATAGTTTGGGAATAAATGTACAAAATTTAATGTAATTGTTACTGTAAGAATAGGGAAAAGTCCCCATGTTCTGAGAGCATTATAGGTAGCTAGTCGAAAATAGCAGTTGTACTTATATAGATCATAAAGCTCATTAGTGATTTCACTGAAGGACTTATCTTTAAATCAAGTCTTCATACTGAATTCTCAGTCAGCTGATAGGGAACTATTGGGAATACAGTTGGCTTTAATCTCAAATCTCAGAAAAATCTATAATAATCTCAAACATACAACAGCAACACTTCTTGTTGTTTTGTCATGAGTTTCATGTGGATTTTTTGATAAAATCCCTGTAAATTAGGTCTTTTGCTTAAGCCAACAACAGGCAAAATACAAGCAGAAACCGTGTGAGCATCTCTGATGCCCTTCTATCAGCCTGCAGCCACTCCGGGGTAACGCACCTGTCAAGCTAACGGTGAATGCTGCTGTTCTCAGCACGTGCTTGCTATCGCACAACGGTGCACCTGGAGCCTTTTCTCCTCCTTCAGCTTATTCTGTTGCCTGGTATGTTGGCCATGAAGCCAGCAGCAAGAGTGTTGGGGATAAATGGGAAGAAAAGGCCTTTCTCTTCCCGTTCCTTAACATAGAACAATAACAGCCTGCAGTATGAGATAGGGCAGATGTAGGAGGAAAGTGTTTTTTCACTTCCTCTCCACCTCCAGTGGAGCGCTGACCTCCTGTAGCACTTCTCTGTAGACCTTGTGCTCTGCTCATCAGCAAGCTGCTGTGGGTCATTTTGGTAGAAGGTTGCTGCGTGCACTCCTTCCTTCTCCCTGGCCTTATGTTTTTTCTCACCATCGTGGTTGTCACATTATTTATCTCGAAGCTTGTTTTCTCAGGGACACTGGTTTCTGGATGTGCTCGATGTGTTTTGCCTCGCCTATCAGCTCCTGCTCTTATAACCTACTGTACGAGCCAACTGAACAGTTCTAGCCACTTTTGTTCAGGAGTATGACTTAAGGATGTAATTTGAATTTCAGCCACCAGAGGTCCTCCACAGTTTACTGCTTCGTTGCAGTTTTCTCTGATCTTTACTGGGATCAGTACAGCCGTGCTCACTTCCACCCAAAATCTATGGACCTCTCCTGCTGAGGATCTGAGGATCTGCTCAAATTCCCTGCCACGTCATCTCTCATATCCTTGGAATCCATATCTAAGATTACTGTCATATACTTAAACCCAACAGCATCTTCCCCATGTTTTTTCCCCATAGGGTTTGGACTCCCCTTTCAGGTCTAATTCTTTGGGGTGCTCACAGCTGAGCTGACAGCAGGGCTGGGCAACACAGAATTGATTTCTGTTTGTGCTGTGCTGTCCCTCAGACTCTGGGCCAGAGGGTCAGGGTGAGGGAAAGCTGGAAAACTGCTTGTGTCATTTCACATGTACATCTTTAACAATCCACAGTATGGTTTTAAAAATTGGTGCCTGAGTTACAGCTGTACTGCTTCTGGGGTAAAAGTAGATTCATAAATCCTTTTCCACAGGGCACACACTGAGCTGACACATCCGTTAAGCAGAGTTTACATCAAAAATTCTCTAACTTTTGCAGAGGAAGGCTTGAAGAGGAATTTGGCAAACAGCCCACAAAAATTTAATCTGTAAAATAAATAGCTGTCACTTAGCACAGTGCTTTCTTTCACCTCATATAACCTGGGCTCAGTCCCAGCCTCCTCCTGCCGATGAAACACCCTGCAGAGTCGCCAAGCCCATGCCACGCCAGCAGTTCTTTTCCCCTTCCCAAAGCAATGGCGATCTCAGCTTCAGCCGCTGGGGGGAACATTAGGCTTTGCCGTGAAGGGGCCATGCGCCAGGCAGGGTCTCCATTAGGCCAGACCAGCTTTCAGGGTCAGATACTTGCCTTCTTATCGTTAAGAAGGACCTTCCCGTATGAAAGCTGACCCATCTTTTACTTTCTTTTTTTTTTAAAAAAAAAATTTTATTTTGTTTGTTTCCCTTATTACACCAGTTGGTCCTGAAAGAGACATTATAACTTGATATAAGAGTTATCTCGCTTGTATGTGTTGCATCCAAAAGCAATATGTGAATCACAACTACCAGCTACTTTTCTGGTCTTCTTAGGCCCACACTGAATTGAAAGATGTGGTGTTTTCCAGCTGTTGAGTCAGCCATCAGTAAGGTCTCATGTGGGCAGTATTTTACTGAGTAGGCCAAACTAAACCCAAGGCTCTCCTCTAGTTCATATTAAAACTCTTTTCTATGTGAAACCCTTCAAATCTTCTACAAGCATTCACTGCATCTTTTGCTGCTTTTGTATTGTCAAGGCTTAGGCACCCTACGGAAATGCAAACTAAAAGGAATAAGTAACATGTTAATGATAACAATGTTTAGAAAGAGGTTTCATGAAAACAAAATAGTCTCTTCTTTTGCCAATATAAATAAAGGCAGAAAGTTGTTTTTGTAGCAGGAGTGTGTGAAACTTGAAACCACAGCAGTAAGAACACCAATATGAATCAGAATGACTGAGATAGACAAATGTATTGCCCTGGAGATGGGAATGTGAGCGGGTGGTTAGAGAAGCAAGCAACAAATCAAACGCCCTTTTCCGCCCCTGACTCACTACGCGTCTGCAGCCAACTCATTTGCCATCTGTATGTCAGTACACACATCTGCAAAAGAGGGACACCTATTTCATATTTTTCCAGATTTAGCTCTTGCCAAGCATTACTAGTGAATGCTGACAGCCCTTTGTTGCTAGGATCTCAGCATTTCACAGGTGGAAAATACAATTTCTCAGCACTTCTCCCATCAGGCCACAATCACTTTTCCTAAAACAAACTTGTGCAGCTGTGAGTTAATGCAGCACCACCTGACAAACCAAAGAGTCTTTCATTCTCCTGCTAGTGCGGAAAGACTTCAAATTAAATTTCATCTAAACCTCAGAGATCAGCAGCTCTCTAACACTGACATGTTACAAAAGCAGCTAACTAACCAGATCTAATCCTATCTAACCAATTGCTACTAATTGATATTGTCAGAATGTTGTTTTCCTATTTTTATACATGAAATCATTGAGTTGGGCCCTTAAAGGCTGTTTAGTCCAAGTCCCCGGCAGTGAACAGGATACGTACAGCTAGATCGAGGTGCTCAGAGCCCGGTCCAATATATTGGTTGATTAAAATGAAATGTGTTGCAAGTGTTTCATGTTTATTAGTTGAAAATAAATCCTTTAAAAATATGTTTTATAACTATAAAGTTAACTCAGTCGTATGTGAAGTGAGTCTCATTACAGGCACAAGGTTTCCTAAATGAGGAATCCACTTGAGTCCAGTTCTCTGATCATAGACCTCACATAATCCTCTATCTGCAGAATCAGCAGTGAGCATTGGCACAGAGATGCTGGATGCTGAGCTGCCTTTCTGCCTGCAGAAGGGCTTCTTCCCTCCTCACCTCTGCCCTAGCTCGCTTTCTGTCCTGCTTGCCAATGGGCAGCAGCTGTCATGGCTACAGAAATGAGCTCAGCGCATCCAACTTGTGGATGTGAAATCTTTCAGATTCATTTTAAATTGGCTACTTTGCTTTCTGTGGTATCTGCACATTCCTCACTGTGACTCTTCTCGTAATGCCATCAGTAATAAAACTGCACTTTCAGGTATGCCTTTCAGTATGTGGGGCCTAACTGTATTTTAAGACTGCCTTTCTGCACTGTAACATTTGAAGTGACTTACACAGTTTGTAATAAAAGTGGTGACTGCCTTTTCTTCCACAGAGAACTCAGACCAGCTCATGTCTGTTCCTTGCAGGACACCCGCTCCACATGTGCTGGGGAAACACTGCACTGCCAACCATTTTCTCCTGCAAGTTTCTGGTAAGCATACCTAATTTGGGGGCAGCTGTTGCCCTGCCCAACCCACTGCACCTAATTCTAGAGAGGTGTCCAAAAACACTGAGCTTGTGGGGCTCCCCAGCTGCCCAGCTGGACATAGTGAGGTGGGCTGCTAGGCTCTGCTTTGCAGCGTGGCATGGCTGGGCAGCCCAACCGCGGCCGTTCTGCTCCACCCATTGAGGTCCTGCCTGAGAGCCAGGGAGAGAAGATGGAAAGGTGTAGGGAAAGTGAGATAAATGAGCAAAAACTGGGTTGAAGACTTCAGCAGTTGGTTCCCCAATTGTTAATTTTACTAATCATCTCGGCTGATGGAACCCTGAGGCAGGACGGCTCTCCTCAGTGCCTGCAGTCACAGCACGCTGCACTTCAGGCAGCGGGAGTTCAGCGGGGAAGCAGCGGCAAAGCGGGGCGGTATCCGGAGAAACTCATTCAGAGGAGAGCGGGGCACACCAGCAGCCCGGGGCTTGGGAGAGCCTCTTTAGCACGGCTCCGCAGCAAAGCGCTGACAGACAGACACGCAGTTCAGGTTTTTTTAGGAACGCGGCGTTGCCCGGCAGCCACCTCTCGTGGGCAGCGCCGCCCGGGACGTGCCACGCGGCCGCAGAGCTCCCAGGTGCGCCGTGCCACGCGCCTCGGCCAGGCACAGGAAGGCTCAGGCTTTGGAAAGGTGATCGAAGCCGCCCGGCAGGGGGCTCGGGCCGGGGTTCGTCCACGCCGCGCAGCCGCCGTGCCCGGGGAGCGGGCGACCGTTGGAGGGCGGTGGGCGCGAGGCGGCGGCCGTTGGAGCAAGCGGCGGCTCGTGCAGAGGTAAGGGCGGGAAGGCGGGCGCTGAGGCAGCCGCAGAGGAGCGGAGGCCGCTCGAGGGAAAGCGAAACCAAAAGGGCGGAGGCGGCGGCAAGGAAGGGGCGGGGGGGCCGGGGTTCCCCGCGGCGGGGCTCTGCTCGCTCCTCCCCTCGGAGCCGAGGCGGAGCGGGGCGGCGGCGGGCGGGAAGGCTCGGCGAGCCCCCGTGGCCCTGGCGCCGGGGCAGCGGGCGCGGTAACGGGCTGCGGGTGAGTCAGAGCCGCCCGGGGAGGGCGGGCTGGACATGAGCCACGCCGCCGGGCTGCGAGCGGCGGCCGGAGGCTGAGCAACAAAGAAGTTTCCCCGGCGGCACGGCGGGCGCGGCGCTCCCTCATGCACGCCCCCGGCCGCCATCCCTGGGGCTCTGCCCGGCGGGCGCCCGCCGCCGACCCCAGCGCGGAGCCCCGAGCGGCGCTACACAGCAGCCCGGAGCTCAGTCGGGCCACGCGGCTCAGCGTGGGGGAGCTGCGCTCCCTCTTCGAGGCGCGCTGCGCCGCCGTCGCCGCCGCCGCCGCCCGGCAGCTGCCCGACCCAGCCAAGCGGGGCTGCCGGCCCCCCAACGGCGTGCTGCCGCCCGTCATCCCGCGCCTCACCGTCACCGCCGAGGAGAGCGAAGAGTCGCAGGGCAGCCCCGAGGCGCCGCCGGCGCACACGGAGGGCGGCTGGCTGAGGACGGGCGGCTCGCTGCACTTGCAGTCCCGCAGGCTGTCCACCTCCTCGCTCTCCTCCACGGGCTCGTCATCCCTCCTGGAGGACTCGGAGGACGACGTGCTGAGCGACACGGAGGGCAGGAGCCAGGGCATCGTGCACCTGGAGCGCGGCGACGACTCCAACCAGGTAGGGGGCGGCTCGCAGCCGTGGGGCCGGGACGCGCTGCCCGGGGGGCCGGGAGCTCCGTAAACGGGACCGACGGAGGAACTACAGCGACAGCAAGAAAGAAAGAAAGAAAGAAAAAGGGGGGAGGGAGGGAAGTAGACTCGTGCCGAACGGCGCTCGGCTCCCCCACCGGTGCCAATCGCCTGGTTGGGGGCCATCGAGCATCCTCGTTTGGAAAGGCTGGTGGTCCGGCTGGGAGGGGGGGGAACTGCGCTTTTCTCCTTGCACACAAACTCTGGGAAATTCCTGCCAAGCGTTGCATGATGCGCATTGCAGCTTCTGTTTTCAAAGCACTTCTTGATGTTGGCCCTTTTAAAACCCCATCAGGTGTGCTTGGTTTCCTGTGAAACTGTGCTTGCTGTCCCAGTAATTTTGAGTGGTGTTTTTTTTTGCTCGTTACTCGGGTCTTTTTGGTTGCTTTGTTTCGTTGTTTGTTCTTTTTTCTTTCTTTCTTTCTTTCTTTCTTTTTTTTTTTCACAGCCTCTTTTGTTAGATCTTCAAAATAACATTTTTCCTGGCATTTGCCAGCGGGGTTATTATTATTTTTCTTTTTGTCTCTTCCAGTCCCGGAGTCTATGGCTGTCAGTTTTTGAACTGCTTCTTGCTGTGAGCATGACAGGAGATGGGGAGGAGCTTGGATTGGGTAGAATGCATGCTTTTGTCCATCCTGGCAGCAGCGCATTCTTCTCAGTAAATCCTCTCTGTAATTTGGCAGCTTTCATCCATGAAGTGCACTTTTAAAGCATTTAGTTAGGGTTGTTTTTTTTTTTTTTTTTCCCCCATGGCCATTAACATATATTTGCCTGATTGTAATGGGCTTCTTGGGGGTTTGTAAGTGAAATGCATTGCTTTAGCAAATTCTTCTTCCTACCTTTACTGAGACCATAACTTAAATTGTTGTTCTACTGCCAACCTACTGGCACTCTATTGTTCTCAAGCAGAACATATGTTTTGAAAAAAATACATATGCAAGAAGTAATGCTAGTTGTTCGTGATACCTCCAGCTGGACCTTTCTCATGCTAATTGTGGGTTTACTACTTTAGAGGACACATAGTACAGGAACTAAAATGTTGTGCGCAATATTGGCTTTGTTTGCATCAACTTGAGGGGAAAAAAGTTTTGTACTTTGTCATGTTGTGTTCCAAGAAACCAGTAATGACGCTTCTTAATTTGTACTTTCTATCCTGATATAGAAACTGGTGTGTGGAGGGAAACAATTGCTACTCTGTCACCATATGCCTTTCTTTTCTGAACTATGTGCCGTGCTAGCAGGGATTTTGTGGAAGTAGCATAAGAACTGGAATTAAAGATGGAAAAGAGCTGTTGGATCCTTTGACTCAACAACGCTGCTATTGCAGTGGGAGAGTGGGTGTGATAATGAGCTACGTGGAGGTAATCCTGAGCTGTACATGTGGTAAATATAGAGCCAGAGTTTACTGGGAATGCTTAAGCTACATGGAGAACTCTGGGATGGCATTGTAGCATCTGTTCACTTGTCTATACACATAAATTAAAGTAAGAACTGTTTTTCAGGTGAGAAACTGAGCTGCTTTGAGGTTGCTTTTGCATTTTGGAAGTAGTGATATTGTATATAATGCTGATTCCTAAATCATTCTTCTGTATCTTTCTCTGTAGTTCTACGTGAGTGCATCTAAAGCATACAATATAAGTGGATGTGAATGGTATTAATTTAATCTGAATTATAGGAAGTATCTAGGCACTGTGAGAAATTGGAAAAGGCTCTTTTCATCTTTTAATGGCAAGAAAAGAAAACTTCTAAACTGAAAAAAAGCTTTATGGATCACTCATAGATGAATAAAAATTGCCATATAAGAAATATTTTAAACTGAAAGAACGTCCTCTTCATTTAGGTGTATGAGAAATTGAGACCTTGAAAGGTATTGTGAGAATTCAGTCTCATAAAAAGCTTCTTGCAAGTTTCTGAAGTTCAGTGCAGCTTCAGTGTTCTTTAGTTTTTCAGTACTGAAGTATTCACACCTGGTAAAATGTCCTTAAGGCTCAAATTACTTCTCCACACCTGTAGGGATGATGGGATAAACTGCCCCACCAGCAGCCTGCATTCCATGGACACCTGTGTCTCGTTACCATTTGCGCAGCAGGCTGGCAAGCTGGGACTTGTGCCTTGGGCTCTAGAACTGCGGCACTAAGTATCAAAAACTTTGTGATGCTACCTAATAAATTAAGTGAGCTAAATCTTTAACCTGCTCGTTGTGTGCTGGTGTAGTTCATCCCTCTCTCCCTTGCCACAGTACCTCTGAGAGCTTGGATCCCAGGAATCTGCCCTTCTTCTTTTTGTAATACACGCTGTTGTTCATCTCAAGTGGCTGCCCTGTGGGCTGGATATTCCTGCAGGTGTCCAGAACGCACTGGTTCTTTGGCTGTTGTCTTTTGGTACTCTAAAACTTCCAGCCCTGTGTTCAGTTGTCCAGTCTCTAGAGGTACTGTTTCAGTAAAGAAACTGTGAGTAATTAACATGCCAAGTGGAGTAACCTGCTTAGAACCTCTGTGGGTTTGGCTTTACAAGATGCATCTTTTTCTACTGTAAGTCCTGAGGAAGGATGAGTAGATCTGGTTTGTTGTCTTTTAAATGAAAAGACTAGGACTCAAGGCAGGCATGTTCATATGAGAATATAACTAGAAATTTGGGGATAATGAGGGATGCTTTTGTACCTTAAAGGTAAGCTTGCATGTTTTATTCATGTCTATTGCTTTAGCGTTATGTATTTTAACAGGTGAAGGTTCATTTTCAAAGAGGAACACAGATTAGAGAATTTCTGCTGGAAATTGCAGTGGAAATGAGCCAGACTTGGTGTTCCCCAGTTCATGGAAAACTGTGACATCTTGAAATTTTCCTTGTATTAGAATTTTCTCCAGTGTTTCTTTGGAAATGATGTAGAGTCTGACACCTTTTGATGTAGCTCAGATCAGGGCTCACAGGACTGCTGCTGAGCTATCGAGCCTCCCAAGTCCTCAGTGCTTCACAGGAACCTTGGAAACTTGCCCAGGTCTTTCAGCTGCAGGAGCAGAAGTTCTGATAGTGTTCCTGTTATCAGGGCTTCAAGGCTTCCATCTGCAGATGCAGAAACTTGAGACCTGAGCTGAAGAAAGCCCTCCCAGGCTTCTTTGCTGAAGGCCTCTCTACTGTTGACCTGGAAGTTTATACTCAGGTGTATCTTCAAAATGTTCTGGGCCCTTGAGCTACCTGTACAGACCCATAGTGAACAGAAAACTGTGCAAGTTGGCAGGCCTTGAATCCTGGGACAGCAAGCTATGCAGTGCTTTTCCCAACTGCGCCTTGGAAGAATCTCTTCCTGGAAGCTTTCTGGGCAGACAAGGAGCTCCCCGGGAGTGTGAGTGACTCAGTTAAGCATTTCACAGAGTGTTCTGGCATGGATCAATTGGCACATCGTGACAGCAATATGCAATTTTTGCATATTACTGAGTTCCATGTATGGTATGTCCCTGGAATGCTATGGCCCTTAATGAATAGTGAGTTCCTTGGGAATGATGGCTGACGATTACAGTACAGTTCCAGCCTGGCTCTGTAGGGACTTACCTTTGTTTGTATCTAGAAGGCTGAGATTTGAAGGTAAGTCAGCAGGTAGATGTTTTGTCTCATCACCACAAATTCCACACTTCATTTTTCAGTAATAGTGACTTTGGAAACTGAACTGCTCTGGCTCTCCTAAAGGAGGGCTTTTCTGGCAGCAAGGGGTTAGAACTGTGAGAGAAGCTAGTTCTGCTGCTATTGCACGAGCTGACAAAGTTACTATTCCTGCCTGCCTTTGAATTTAAATGGAAAGAATGCTTTTCCTACCCTTGCTTCCCACAATCTGGAAGGTTTATGTATGTAGTTGAATCTTTCGGAGAAAGCTCCATTGGTCCATTTATAGTAATGAAGAGAATACAAGAGATGTATTTTTATCTTTATTGTGTGAACAAGCAATTTTAAGAACTATATTAAGTCTGGTTAGCGCCTTCTTTGTTGGGACAGAGAGACTTAAAAGTGGCTTTCTCAGAGACGGAATCGCGTGATGATGTACAGCAGTCTTTTCTCCTTTTCATTAGGGTAGTGTTATTTCCTAGATAGAAGCATGCCAGGCAAATCTACTCATTCTCAGATCTGTGACCTGTCATTGCAAATTCCTGCATTGGTAACCATGAGAACAGCTGACAGCAGCTCGCTAGAGAAAAAGCAGTGCAGTTCTTACCTGCAGTGATACCAGTTCAAAAACTTTGGGCAATAGCCATTACTTGGTTTTGCCTATCTCCTCACTATTACTTTTGATAATAGTGAGCACCTTAAAAATGAACAAACATAGGCACATACACTTAATAAATACAGCCTGAAAGTTTCAAGTGGTTCAGCTGAGGAGTGGGTGTTATGTAAGCTAATGCACTAGAACAGAATTGTTATTTTTAAAAGAAGAATGGGAATGAAGGGATGACAGAAGTAAGACTGTTAATGGGTTTTTAGCCTACTTTCAAAGGAAAGAAAGATTGTGTAATCACGGTATCAATTTAATTTTAACAACTTCAATAGAATTCAGCTGACTTTGACAGTGAGGTAAGCATCCCAAAGTTTTCTTCATAAGTTCTGTAAAGTTCTGTGAACATCAGCCTCTGGGTGAAGAATATAAGCTCCAGATAAGAGATGTGGAACTGTGAGGTGCAGTGGAGGGTTTATGACACAAGCTCATGGAGCACAGTGACAAGCTGTTGTTAATTTGAGAAGGGTGCAGGGCAGTAGGCTAGTAGTTCAGTAGACACCAGCCTCCATTAATTAGCTAGTTGTGGAGCAGCTAATTTTAACAGCATTTCATGATATTTTTTAAAAATAATGATTTATAATAACAGACTTGCTACTGACATCTTCCTGTTACGTAGTAAACAAATACGAGTGAATGGTTCTGTGTTGCTCTGTTATTGGGCCTCAACT